TCAGAACACTCTTTACTCCTCAACAGAATCCTAAGGTTTTTAAACCGAAATGACAGTGTTAAATTGCACTGTGAAGAAGCACCTGTGGTTTCCTGTTTGGCCACCTGCATGCACATAATGAGAACAGACGGGTGAAGTATTATCCCTAACTGAGAGTCTGTGATTTAAAACATCTTGCCATTGCAGGTTGCTATGTACCTCTCCCTTTTTGTTAACTGATTATCCAAGAAGATGGGTTTATGTCGTGAGGCACTGTGCATTTATGGTGGTGGTGGGCTGGGGGGGGGGGGGGGATGCTGCTTAATAATGCCCTATAATTAAAGGGGGGGGGGACATCTGTAATACTTTCAACAAGAAAGATAACGTTAAAATGTTTTCTTAATTCAAAAGACATACCATCAAGAACTGGATAGTATGGCCACTCAGTAATTAGACAACTAAATTGCATGCAATTCAGAGGTAGAAGATGGTTTTGTTTTTTGGGGTTTTTTTTTTTACCCTTTTCCTAACAACAGTCCCTTCTAGTTCAAACATTCCCCAGTTGTGTGGATAATGTCAGAGATTTCTTAATGCAAGGAGATCTGAAAATGCCAGAGGGCAAACACTCCTTGAGGACATGTATCCCAGCTCTGCTGCTGTGAGTGAAGGCGACAGGAACTGGTTTTGTCTCTCCTGCTGTCCAACCTCAAACCCACCGCATGTCATAAACACACCACTGTCTTCCACAAATGCCCTTTATTTTTCCTTTGGTAACTTTCCACTGATTATACTAAAGTGAAGTAACCATCATTCAAGAGTTTATGGTGTTTCTTTTGTGTGTGTGTTTAAACATATTTTATTGACTTTTTTTTACAGAGAGGAAGGGAGAGGGGTAGAGAGCTAGAAACATCCATGACAGAGAAATATCGATCAATCGCCTCCTGCACACCCCCTACTGGGAATGTGCCTGCAAACAAGGTACATGCCCTTGACTGGAATCAAACCTGGGATCCTTCAGTTTACAGGCCGATACTCTACCCAATGAGCCAAACTGGCAAGGGTAAGAGTTTATGGTTTTATGAATAAAACCAGTGGAGGAGGCAGAGATGTGGACCATGGAGGCACTTTTAGCTGCAGGATCAGGAGGAGAGGATGTACTAGCTCACGGAAAGATATGCAATCACAAAACAGTGTGTATCCGTTTCCTAGAGAAGCCGTAACAGATGACCACAAATTGGGTGGCTTAGAACCAGAAACACTGTCTGGAGTCTGGAGGCTGAAAGCCCAATCACAAGGTGTTGGCAGCACTGGTTCCTTTTGAGGCTGTGAGGGAGCACCTGTTCCGGCTTCCTCCTTGCTCTCAAGTGGCGGAGAGCAGGCCCTGCAGTTCCCGCTTGTAGCTACCTCACTCTTTTCTCTGCCTCCATCTCCACATGCCCTTCTTCCCTCCGTTTGTCTGTGTGTCTGCATCTCTTGTGGACTTCTTACAGAGACACCAGTCAAATGAATTCAGGGTCCACCTTAACCCAGTAGGTCCTCATCTTAGCTGGTTGCATCTGCAAAGATCCTATTTCCAAATAGGGACCTATTCTGAGGTTCTGGGCAGACATGAATTTGGGGGAACACTAATCAACTCAGTACACAATGACATGCTCACATTTAAACTTCCTACACAAACTTGAAATTGATAACGGTACATTCACTCGACAGTCTTGCTCACTCCTGTCTCCTGTAACTGTACAGGCCTGGCACATACAGGGCTCTTCATCAGTGTCTGCTGAATGATGCACTGATGGACCTTTCAATGCAGGACCAGAGTGCTTTCTTGGAGATTGGATCTGCTCAATGATGGTCTCTCTCTTTCTCTCTCTCTCTCTCTCTCTCTCTCTCTCTCTCTCTCTCTCTCTCACACACACACACACACACACACACACACACACCCACACACACCCATCTACTATCTCCAGACTCATTTTCTCTAACATGTACTGAGAGGGTAAAAGAAAGTAAAGATGCCTTCACAGCAATCCAGTACAGGACCCCTACTTTTTTATAATCCTTCTGTACATCCTTTTAGCATGTTCACCCACATTTAATTCAGTAGCTATTACTTTAATACTCTCAACTTGCTTGGTGATTTTCCAAAGGGCCCACCTTAGATTTAGAGAAACCATGTTACTCCTTCCATATATAACCAGCTTACTTCTAAGTACAAGCTGGAATAAACAAGTTCTGGAATAAGCACAGATGACACTAGATAAGCATACAAATCAAGTGATGAAAGCAGAAGAGCCCGTGACTGCAGCTACAAACACTCCAGGCGCCAGGGACTCCGTGGGTCTGACTTACAGGCAATGGGCAGCGCCAGCCATTAAAGCCCAGCGCAAGGTCCAAGGAGCAGGAAGTGCCTGCTGGAGGAAGGGAATGGGGAGTGCTTTGTAAAACGATGATCTTTGAAGTGGGTTTTGGGAAAAGAAGTAAAAGGCTTCCTTATAGACAAAGATGATAAATATAGCGCTAAATGGTGGAATAAGCAAGAAGAGGTAGAGAGATGGGGACTGACCCATGTGCTTGCAGACCACGTACTTTTCAGCACTGCTACCACCTGCAGTGCACAACGGTGGGGAGTAGGAGATGACAAGAGATGAGGCAGGTCCACTCATCATGTGCTTGGTATTCTAGAACCTCATTGGTTATATAGAGAACACAGATCAGAGAAGGGGCAGGGTGGAAGGCAAGATGGCCAGTTGGGGGAACTGTAGACACGTGGTGGCCCAGTGTGGTGGCTGCAGGCTTGCAGAGCTGTGGATGGAGCCTACTGACAGGCAGACTGATGACCTGATAGGACCTGGTGACACAGGGATGTGGCTGGTAAGGGTCAGGGAGGTGGCTATCTGGCACCTGTCTCTCAGCTCTGTGCTCCTGCAGGGCTGCTTCCTTTGCTGGAATACCCTTCCTCCTGCCTGGGTGTCTCCAGGCCCTGGCACTATGCCTTGCATACTGGGAATCCAAAAACAGTGCAGAAAGGAATGAATGAGTATACACTTTGTACCTTAAAAAGGAAAAATGGCCCTAACTGGTTTGGCTCAGTTGGTAGAGCGTGGGCCTGCAAAATGAAGGGTCCCAGGTTTGATTCAGGTCAGGGGCATGTACCTTGGTTGCGGGTACGTCCCCAGTGGGGAGTGTGTGCAGGAGACAGCTGATGGATGTTCCCCTCTCATAGATGTTTCTAGCTCTCTATCCCTCTCCCTTTCTCTCTGTAAAAATAAATAAATAAATAAACAAATAAATAAATAAATAAAATGGTTTTTTTTAATTAAAATGAAAAATGATGCAGCTGAGAAACAAGTAATAATCTACTTTGGGCTAAAGTCAATGCTTTTTAGTCAATATCCCAATCAAATGGCTACAGGCTATTTGATTGAGGATTCTGGAAATACTGAAAAAGGATTGACAAATACTAGAGTTTTTAACTCATTAATTTACTAAACACCTACCGTGTTTCCCTGAAAATAAGACATCCTCCGAAAATAAGACCTAGCACATGGAAAGATAAGACATCCCCTGAAAATAAGACCTAGCGCAACTTTGGGAGAAAAAATTAATATAAGACACTGTCTTATTTTCGGGGAAACAGGGTATTAAGAGCCAGGAACTCTTCTAAGTATTGGAGGGGTGGAGATATGGTTCTGGGGTGAGACCAAAAAACTAATGCTTGTTTACCAAGGAGGGAGAGGTCTGAGCACTTTTTAAAAATTACTTTTAATGCTATAACTTCCCAGCTATATTGTTATCTTTCTTGTTCCCATATTTTGATGGAAATGCATATCATTAAAAAACAAAAAGAAATTTGTGAACTTGTTTCAGAACAATTGAAAAACTTCTCCATAATCTAGGGGGGAAGGAATGCGGCAAGGAAACAGCTCAAGAGAAATTAGTACAACCCAGAGGCCTGAGGGAAAGAACTGGTGCATGAGACGCCAGCCTGAGACCACACCGCAGCCCTGGAAACGTTGATGCAGCGTCTTTGGGTCCGTCCCAGGGCCACTCCCTCCGCCTTCCCGAGCCTCTTCATGATGTGGTGGGTTAGAGGCACATTTGCAAAGTTCACAGGAATGAGCTGGGAGTTGTAACCCCCTTATTTCACTGCCTCCTCTCCAATCTCTCATCAAATGAAACGCAGTTCAACCTGCGGGGAGAACTCGGCTTCTCCCAGACCTCGGACTGCCCTTAGGGATTAGAACCAAACTCCTAAGGAAATTCTGTGGATAGATAGCATACAAGGTGCAGTGAGGAATCTCTCGGCTCCCACACCCGTTCCTCAAGAGCCATGAAAAGTGGTTACTGAATGAACATCCAAGGACATACAATTTTCACTGATCCATCCCATAATATTCCCAGCTGACCTATCAGGAGAAGGGTGTCCCACCAGGTAAAGGCCTGGTGCTAGACACGGATTTTTTTAGCTGCTGCAAGTCTAATGGATCCGGTGGGGAGTGGCAGGGTAGCCAGGAAGCACCCAAGAAGGTACGGTAGCAGTTATTTATCAACTAGTATGGAAGGATTTCTGTTTTAATAACTAGGAGAGATAAACAGCAACCCTGAGTTAAGGGCCTTAGATTAGAGGTCAGCAAACTTTTACTGTAAAGAGCAAGAGAGCAAATATTTCCGGCTCTGTGGGATCTTGTGGTTTCTGTCACAACCACTCACCTCTACCTTCACCATGCAAAAGCAGCTGGAGACAGCATACTGATGAGTAAGTGCCTGGTTGTGTTCCAACGTGACTACAAAGGCAGGTGGTGGGCCAGACACTGCGCATGGGCCATTGCTCACGCCCCTGCCTTCCAACGCAGCAAGCTCACAGACCTACAGAGCAATGGAGTCTTCCCTCTCAAACTCCTTAGCACTGTCTTGCCTACTGACTCACCCATGATTCCAATGTGCATCCTGATCTTTCCAGACCCCAAGAGGCTGGGTCAAGGCGAGCAGTCAGACTTCCCCACCCAAGTTAAGATACTCACCCAGAAAAATCCGTAGTGAGGATTCCATAGTGGAAGATGTATATTCTGCTGATGTGGCATATTGTTAGGTATCCCATCGCTACAAAAAAGGAGTATCTGAAACCCAAACCCCACAGGACCAGATTAGTATACATGGCAATAATGGACTCAGTCAATTTTCTCTTCTTCCTCTCCCTCACCCTCAACCTTCCCCCACCCCTTTGCAATGTCACAAAGTTCTGTCTGGTCTAGCTACACTCTAGTCCTCCTCTCCCCCAACCCCTGCTCCGAGCCCTTCATCTTTTCTCACCTGGTCCACTGCAGTCCTCAGCTTTGGCAGCATAATGGGGAATCATTGCAAGCCACAGATGTCTGGGCGCCACGCCCAGATATTCAGGTTTAATCAGCACAGCGTGCACGTAGCAGGTGTAATTCCAATACGCAGCCAGAGCTGGGAACCTCTCACCTGGAAGGTCTTGCCCACAGATTCTCCCCTTCACAAACCATCACATTTACAAGATGGTCTTTGTAAATAAAAACAATCACCATTGCCCACCACTCTCTCCCTGAAACGCTTTGTTCTCTTGGTTTCAAATCTCCTTGTTTTCTTCCCACGACTTTGGCTAATTCTTCCAAGGCACTTGCTCAGCATATCTTCTTCCGTCTACTCCTAAGTTACCATTCCCAATGCTCTGCCCAGAACCCTCTCTGAGACTCCAGTTCCCATCTGCTCCATATCACCAGCCTATAGAACAAACCAGCAATGCACACACATACACACACCTGCCACTTAAAAGGTTCATCGGCCTGTAATAATAAAGATATGTGATAATCTGATTAACTACTGTGGCCCCTGCTAGAGTGAAAGCTCCATGAAGGCAAGGATGATCATATGTGTTTCGTTCACTATAGTCACCACGCACTGGGTGAACAACCAAATAAACATTACTTGTCTTAGAAGTCTCCAAAGGATCTCACTACCCAGTCACATCCAAACTCCTGCACACGGCAGGCAAGGTGCTTCCCACACAAAGCTCTGCCTGGCCTCTGTGGACTCACCTCTGGCCACACTCCACACTCACCTTATGTTCTACCTACACTGGACATCCTGCATTTTCAGGCCCGATATCTTTCTGAGAGCTCCCTCCTCTGCTTACAATTCCTTTCTCCATGCTAGAGTTTATCTTGGAGCTGCCTAATTATCAGATAAGGCTCAGCTACCTACTAACATCTATAATTATAATATTAAAACTTTAAGCGTCTGTTTCCCCAACTTGACCTGACATAGGAAGGGTTTCCTTACCGTTAGTTAAACATCGTAAAGTGTTTCAGGAGCCCATCAGAAGCACTCAATCAGAAGGGATAACTTCCAAATGCATCATAACATATGGAAGATACCTATTCTGATATTAAATTATTATGCACAAATTCACATTAAAATAACTCATGAAGACTAGATCCACCTAAGGGGGAGTAAATGGCAGGGACAAAAGACGTTCATTTGGTAGCAAGAGAGAACCAGACAAGGCCTGTGAAAGAGGTTCACACACTCTAATACACTTCGTAACTTCAACTTCTTTTTACCGTTGTTTGCAATCAAAGACCTTACTACACAACAAAGATCTTCCTCTACCCTGGCTTCACCCTTAACCTTTCCAAACCAGAAGATGGTGAAAAAAAGCAAAGGACTAAGAAAAAAAACAGCTCCCTCAAGAGGTGAGGCAGAAGCTGAGTGGAGTTTGGCCGTTTTGCCTCCCACACGTGTTCCCTTTCTCCTGCCAGTTCGTGGGGCTCAAGGAAGAAGCGCAGAGCAGATTTAAGACAAGATTCTTCCAGAACCTTTTCAAATGCAGCCAGGCCTACTGCTTCCTCTTTCTCCTCCACGGGAGTTGGACCCATACTTCCCCCTGGCCCCTCACCCTGAGAAAAAAGCAAGTTCAATTCAATTGTTATATTAAGACACACTCACCAAGGATGGTGCCAAATGCTATGTCCCAATACGACAAGGCAATGCATTCATGCTCTGGACAAACCTGAAAAATCTAAGGAACCCAGAAGTGGCCCAGGGAGCGTGTGTTCTGGAGACAGACCAATGTGGGTTCATAACCAGCGTTGGCAAAACTAGCCCATGGTGTGAGATGGGGACGTGGCTATTCCAGGAAGGAGGGCTGCGGTAGAAACTGGGAATGCATGAAGGTAATATTTCTCTTTCTGACCTGGGAGATGGGTACGTGAATACATTCACTGTGTGAAAATTCAACAAACTGTATACCTCTCTAAGCTTTCATTTCCTTATCTCGGGAACAAAACAAAACAAAAATTGATATCCTATTGAGTTGTCCTAGAAAGAATAGAGTTGCAATAGTGATAAATATTAAATACTAGAGACCCGGTGCACAATTCATGCATGGGTGGGGTCCCTTGACCTGGCCCCACCCTTGGCCTGGTCTGTGATTGGGGACTTCTTGCCCAATCCAGCGAGGATGGCAGGAGAATGGCTGTGGGAGCACACTGACCACCAGGGGGCAGCTCCTGCATTGAGCGTCTGCCCCCTGGTGGTCAGTGTGTGTCATAACTACTGGCCAGTAGTCCAGTTGTAATGGTTGCTCAGGCTTTTATATAGAAAATAACATATCAAATGATACACTTAACAAGCATTCATATATTTAAAATGATGAAACATAATATATTTAAAAGAGCTTGGCCTGGCACTTGGCACAAAGCAAATACTCCGAAATTGGTAACTGCATCACTGAATTTGCACCAAGGCCTCTGTCCTAGGAGATAGTAACTATATTCTGTTCCAGCTGGTTCACATGAGGTAAATTAACTCCTGTAGCTTCTGCCCAACATAGCGACTTGTGAAGGAAACAGCTGGTACCCCAAGGCCTCTCTGTAAACCCTGAATGACAATGGTCAGTCCAGAAATGGGTCAGTTCCCATGGCAGCAAATGCTAACCTTCCCTCCCTTCCAGCCATATGACAGGACCCCTAAAACTGGCTCTGTGATGAGAAGAGAACAATTCACAGAGAATCCTGAAATCCTGGTCCTGAAGAGAACTTAAGTTCAAACCACCACAAATGCCACCTCTGATGGAAGGGAAACCTGATGCACAGAGAAGCTGCATCACTTGTCTGACCTCACACGGCTAGAAAGAGCCAGGTTTCCTGCTCTTACAGGTCTACTCTGCTTTCCTGCTTGGATAGGAAACGACTTCATCCACTGGGGACTGCACCACTCCCTGCTTCTGCAGCACTGGCGACCGCACAAGCAAGAAAGGGGAAAACTTGTCCTGGCATCCTCTCTTTCTGGTCTTGTGACACGGCCTTCTGCTACCACAACGTGATTGCCTGTCTGTAAACTGTCAGGCTCGGCCAAGGCCGGAGTGTTCCATCCCTAACCAGAGACTAACACAGAGAGAGGGGCCTGGCCCAGAGTGAGTGTGCATGCAAGCTCTCCACCCTCTGAAAAACAGACCACACCCCAGCGGCATCCTACAAGCACAGGCAGAGCTAACAAATCACAATTTGTAAGGAAATGCCCAAAGAGATGCAACAGCAATTTCATTAATCATTCCACTGTTTCAAAAATCAAGTTTAGTAAAAATCAGCCATTTTTCACCCCTACTTTAAAAAAAAAAAGAAAAGAAAGAAAAAGCATTTTGTCATAATATAAAGCATTCCAAAACCCATTCTTTCCAAATTAGAAATATGGGTTTCCTGGTTCCCTTCAGGTACAATACTGTGGTGTCAGAAAGACAATGGGAAACAGAGACAATGGAGAACAGATACCCAAGCTCTCTTAATTGATGGTCTAAGCATGGAGCCTTCAAGGTAGAATGAAATTGCTTCAAAATATCATAATAAAAATACTTCTTCCTTAACAGTTTCCATGTACATCCTTAAAGTATACAAAGTTCTGACATACATGCACACCTAGAAAACCACAGCCAAATTCAAGATAAAGGAGATATATATATATATATATATATATATATATATAATCACACCCCAAATTCTTCTCCTTCTTTGGGATCCCCGCCACATTCCCCTGCACCACCCCTCCCTGGGAATATCTGATCTGATTAGTTTGCCTTTTCGAGAATAGAATTTGTGTGGCTTACTTCACTTGGACATATTTATTTGAGATTCATCCATGTCAGTGAGTGGATCAATCATTCACTCCTTTTTGGTGCTGAGCAGTGTTCCACGGCGGGGAACATTTGGGTTATTTCCAGTTTGGGGCTATCACAAATAGAGCTGCCTAATCCTGACATACTATCTTTCCCCGGAGACCCAATGTGAACCCTGCGTTTTCTGTAAAGCATTTTCTAAAGACTCCCAACATTTAAGGCTTCCCACCCCTCCATGTGATGTCCCAGAGAACAAGTGTGTAACACATATGGGGAAGATACCTCTTCCCATGGAAATAAATACATTTCAAAGATCATGAGTAACCCCACCTTGCACTGTTCATTCCCAGAGTCTTACCTGTGAATATTGGATACACTTGCAGTGACCAAGATTCCATAGCACATTAACACCAGCACAAACAGATGTGCAGAGTACCTTTAAGACATTGGGGGGGGGGGGGCAAAAACATTGAATATATTTCATATTAACGTATCTATTGGCTACCAATACTGCTACTCCACCTCTACCCCACCATAAAGCAACTCATCAGTTAATTCATGTTTATGTAAGAAAAATAAATCAAGTATTTTTGTTCTGTGAAATTAAAAACTTTATCTTGAATGATAGTAGGATGTCTTGACACAATCTGCCAGTGTAGCACTAATGATGTTAGGAATCACGAATGGGATGCTTGTACTTTTTTATTTTTATTTTTTAGAGAGAGGAAGGGAGAAGGAGAGAGAGAGAAATACTAATGTGAGAGTGAAACATCGATCAGCTGCCTCCCACTGGAGGTCGAACGCACAACCTGGGTTTGTGCCCAGACCGGGGAATCGAACAAGCAGCATTTGAGTGCATGGGATGAAACCCAACCAAGCCACACCAGCCAGGGCTTATACTTTTTTCACATACACAAGTCTGAAAGAGAGTTCTTTCTTTCTTCAGACTTTCCCCCCCAAAAAATGTTAAGTACTAGAACCAAAACTGAGCTGGCTTTTACCTGTCTGGTTGATTCAAAATACTCATCAATCTTTCTCAAATTTTTGTTGAAAGAGGAAGAGCAGCATTCTAGAGCCCTGAACAAATTCACAAATCTCCTTCAGTTGTACTTCCAGAAATGTTACTTCCTAAAGCTTCTTCCACAAGTACTCCCAAGGATTTATTTAGAAAGTCTGATCTACATGCTTTCTTTGTTTAAGAATGACTGCCAGCCCTGGCAAGTGGGCTCAGTTGGTTGAGCAAAGAGGTTGCCAGTTCAATTCCCAGTCAGAGCATATGCCCAGGTTTTGGATTGGGGGTGTGCAGGAGAAACATCCCATCATGTTTCTCTCTCACATCAATGTTTCTCTCTCTTTCCCTATCCTTTCGTCTCTCTCTAAAATCAATAAAAACATATTTTAAAATAGAATGACTCCCATTCCTTAAGACCAGCACTAAAACAATTGTTGTGGGTGGTGGGTGGTGGGAAGAGACCCAGCAAACGGACCTCACAATCAGCTGCAGCCTTTACACGAACAAATCTCCTCTTGTGGGCGGGAAACACCACTAGCTCCAGCAGTAATCAAGAAAAACACCACTGTCCACAACATTTAGGAATGGTTCTTTGTCTGGAAAATTAAACCTTATAAAAACCCATTTACATGACCCAGGGGAGATCAGTAGAAGTGTAACTTTAGAAAAATTCACCAAATGGACTTTCAATGGGTAGGCAAATTTATTGATTATAGTAAATGTAAATTTCTGCAAATTTCCCTATTAAGTAAAATACATATGTAATATATACTAGTATACACACACACACACACACACACACACACACACACACACACATAGATATAGATATTTCCTTAGAGTCTGGGGAATGCCAAGAATATTGCCACAAAACATCCGAATGATAAACATTAGAATACATGAGGCTCATACTCACCAGCCAAAACAAAAGATGACAAAGTAGATGCCAAAAATGGTGGCAAATGTGTGCCGGGCCACGGGACTGGTTTTACTGGGACTTAAGTAGATGCGAAACCAGAAAGCAGCAAACAAAGCAACGAGCTGGCATGCTACAAAATTCACCTGAAAGAAAAAAGAAAAAAAAAAAAATCAAAACTTTACTGCTCTGACTGTGTGAGAATGTTTTCAACATTTTTCAGATTTCCATGTTGGGTGCATCTCGGACTTGTACTTCTCCCGCAGCAGGGTGTCCGTTTGGAGGAGGAGCCCCTGACTGAAGAGAACTGGGCCCTCCTCACTGGTATAAGAAGCAAGCAACCCAATAAAGGCAGATGAACCTCACAAAGGCAGACCTCTTTTTATTGCGCTTCATTTTACTGTGCTTCACAGGTGTTGTATGTTTCACAATCTGAAGGCAAGGCCCTCCACCATCATCCAGCAAAAAGACTATGGCTCGCTTTATTGCCCTCCTTGCTTTATTATGATGATCTGGAATCGACCTGAAATACCTCCAACGCATACTGGTAGTTTCTTCCCCAGTTCTTTAAAACTAGCCAAGGCTGCTTTCCCACCCACAATAGGAGACTTGTTCACGTAAAGACAGCAGCTGATTGTGAGGTTGGTTTGCTGGGTCTCTTCCCACCACCCACAAACGCTATCTATATATCCAAAAGGCTAAGCAGCCTGGCTGGTAGCTATGATGCACACTGACCACCAGGGGGCAGATGCTCAATGCAGGAGTGGAAACCACAGCCATGGAAACATGGAACAGATTGATGAATCTCAGAGGGAAGGGGAAGGGGGGAGAGCGGGAAGAAATTAACAAAAAATCTTATATTCAGCCCTAACCGGTTTGGCTCAGTAGACAGTGTTGGCCTTTGGACTGAAGGGTCCCAGGTTCAATTCCGGTCAAGGGCATATATCTTTGTTGCAGGCACATCCCTAGTACGGAGTGTGCTGGAGGCAGCTGATCAATGTTTCTCTCTCATCAATGTTTCCAAATCTTTATCCTTTGCCCTTCCTCTCTGTAAAAACATCAATAAAATATATATAATTTTTTAAATCTTATATTCATACTAGAGGTCTGGTGCATGGATTCGTGCACTGGTGGGGTCCCTCGGCTTGGCCTGTGAGGATAAGGCCAAAACCAGCTCTCCGGCATCCCCCTAGGAGTCCCAGATTGCAAGAGGATGCAGGCCAGGCCAAGGGGCCTCTAGTCCTAAAATAAAGAATAAGTTCTTTTAGAGAAATCAGAGGTTTCCCTCATCTGATTCCTAAGAAATCAAATGCTTCTTCAAAATAATCAACACCCATTTTATGACTCTTGTTTTTCTCATTTTTAAATTAACACTAAGTAAGTGAGAACATTGCTCAAATTCAAATTAAAGATCCATAAAGAAATAGCCCAGCATTAAACTTTTAATGTCAATGCTGTCCAATTATACAACGTTGGCATCAAATTTCCTTAGAAAAACCCCAGTGATCTAGCTCTCAAAAATATTTCCATAAAATAAAATATGCAATAATTCCCTGACACCTGTAGAAAAGATCGGGTGATTTAACACAAAATCAAAATGTATTTATCAGTTAATGAAAAGTGGAAAAACAATTTAATCTTTTCAGAGTATTCAGAATGAAAATTTCAGTATCAATTTACTTTTAGATGGTACCTAATTGAAATAGATCAAGGGTATAAATATCTGAATATACCCTCAACTTCAGCTTCAGGAGTTTTTCATGCTACAAAAAGCTCTAGCTGTAAAATTCATGATGGGTGGGCTCAGAGGTAGCAGACATCACCTCCAACAGAGGTCATTTTGACCTCCCAATAAAAAACAAGAATACTGCCCAGACAACATGGCTCAGTGCTTGAGCATCAACCTATGAACCCGGAGGTCACAGTTCAATTTCCGGTCGGGGCACATGCCAAGGTTGCAGGCTTAATCCCCAGTAAGGGGAATGCACGAGGCAGCCGATCAATGATTCCCTCTCATCATTGATATTTCTCTCTCCCTCTCCCTTCCTCTCTGAAATCAATAAAAATATTTTAAAAATAAAAACAAGAATACTTTGGACCCATTTCTAATTCTTAGAAAAATAATACTTTCAGATAATTTTTTTGCTTTTAAAAATTGGCTGTACTGCAAGCATGTCAAACTCATGACCCACAGGCCGTATGCAGCCTACAACAAATATTTTTTGCGCCCCAGGCAATATAACGGTATGTAAGAAACATTTTAACAAGAATTTTGTGACTTAATTTTTACAATATCCTGTTATACATAATTATTAATGAACTATAATGTTCACTAATGATGATTACTATAATTGTGTTGCATTAATTTCCTTTATGCGAAGGCGCACCATTTCTCTCCACTAATACTAGCAGTGAATGTTTTAGTAGCTGATTGCCATGTCATTAGTCTTGGACTGTCTTGTTTGGTGTATGCAACAGGAAATACTTCGCTTTTGGAGAACAAGAAAACTGGGTTCATTTGTTTTATACTTAATTTGTGCATTTAGCATATATCTCTATCGAAATAAACCTATGTTTTTATGAAAATTGAAGCTTTTGGTTTTTTGCAGCCCAAACAAAACTTACTTTGTTTATTTGGCCTGTGTTAGCCTTCAAGTTTGACATGCTTGCTGCACTGAGTTTCCCCTCTATTTTGGAGATCATTCTTCATCAGTCTGTCCAATAACCTATTTCTCTACTGCTCACCCTTACTAAATACCACAAAAGGCACAGAGGACTTGAGCTGCATGGTCCTACCCTGCATAATTTTGGTCTTATCTTTTTATATAGCCTAAATGCACAGCCAACAACACAGAGAGATACAGACAGAAAGAGAGATAACCACCTTTTCAAGTTTCAAAATATAAAGGACTTGTCAACTGGAAAGTCAAAGTTATGATCACCTGTAGGTCATCAATCACACATCCCTTCATTCTCTCAGACCCGGATCCAGCAGAATGTAGTTACTAAGGAGACAACTACAGGAAAAGTTGCTCCATTGCTGTTGATTGGCCAGTAATTACTGAGCATCCCTTAACCTGAGTATAGAGCAGTGGTTTTTAAGAGTATAGTCCCCCAACCACCAACCTGGAAACTTGTCTGTTAGAAAAGCAAATTTTCAGGTCCCACCAAAGACCATCTAAATTAGACATTCACTCACTAACCCCCCTGCCAGCCTGGTCACTCCACGCAGCCTGCTGTTCAGTTGTTTGGTCATCCCTCACTAACCCCCCTGAATAGGTCCAGCAATCATAATTGTGATGTATACTCAACTTCGAGAACCATTGGCATAGAGGAGAAAGAAGGCATGTCCCTTCCTTCAAGAGCTTATAATCTAACTGGGGAAAGAACACAAATAACTACAAGTAATTGTACATTAACATTAGTATTGTGTGAACTTTTTATACTACTAGAGGTCCAGTGCACAAAATTTGTGCATAGAGGGAGGGTCTCCTCAGCCCAGCCTGCTCCCTCTCCAATTGGGAATCCTCGGGGGATCGGGCCTAAACCGGCAGTTAGACATCCCTCTCACAATCCTTGATTGCTGGCTCCTAACTGCTCACCTGCCTGCCAGCCTAATTACCCCTGTCTCTGCCTACCAGCCTGATCACTCCTAACTGCCCCCCATGCCAGCCTGATCACCCTGAACTGCCTCTGTCTGCTGGTCTCATCACCCCTAACTGCCCTCCCACCAGACTGGTCGCCCTCAAATGCCCCCCCCGCTGGCCTGATCACCCCACACAGCCTGCTGTTAAGCCATTTGGTCATCCCTCACTAACCCCCCTGCCAGCCTGGTCGCCCCAGGCAGCCTGTTTGGTGGTCCATCCAGGTGTTTTGGTCGTGATGGCCCCTTTGTATATATCTGGATATGTCCTTTAGATCATAAGTAAAAGACAAGATGTTAAAGAGGAATAAGACTCAGAGCGACAATAAGAAAACCTGTTGAAATAGATAAAAATTGAGAGGGTGGGGGACTAAAGACACTAAAAATACTGCTGCCTGGTTCCTATCCCCAATTTTTCTGATTCAATAAGCCTGGCATCCGGACTTTTCAAAGCATTCCGGTAATTCTAATAAGCAGGCCAGATGCAGACCTCCTTGTTTGGAAGACAGAGCCACCCACGAGGAACTAGGCTTCCCCAGGATGGAGAAAAACACAAAGAACAGGGGGATTGGACTGAGAAAGTGTTGGGGCTGGGATGAGATGGAACAAATTTAGGAGTAATCAAAGCCTGAGGCCACCCCTCAGCCAGCCCAGACTGCCTCAGCCTCCTGGCAATCCCCTGCACTGGGTCTGTCATCTGTCAACCTAATCCCAAGGAAGAAAGAGCCTTACCATGGAAACTACCCTTGACCCTGTAACCCTAGGGACTGCAAGGACAGGAAGAATCCCTGGGTCCCTGAAGCAATTTGCCATTTTTCAGTCACCATAATATAATGTGCAGCCAACTGAATGCCTGGTTCTGACACTGAGATGTCAGTTGGGCAGCCTTAGGTGATTAGTTGGTTAATCCTACAAATATTTACTGGTTGACTCCATATGCCAGATACCGGGGACAGTGAGCAAGACACTATCATTACCTTCAACTCAAGAAGAGGCAAGTAAAAAGCTCTAAGTTTCAATTCTCTTTCCCCCACCTCCAAACTATCTTTGGGAGAACTGGTCTCTAATGTCTCCTCTGGCTCCAGGGGTCTCTAATTCTATATCTAACCCCAATCCTTTCCCTTAACTATTCTTGGTAAATAAACCCAAGACTTCATTATGGATTAAAAGCTTTCCCCTTACACACAGACAGAACTCACTCCCCGACCCTCTGCCTGGAGTGAATCACAAATGGCTAGCTGAACGTTCAAAGGCAAACACAGCACAGCATCACTTAGTTCTAGCTGGAGGGTCCTAGAAGAATTGCTTTTCAGTTAGCAGATGTACACCTTAAAAGGTACAAGCCAAACCACAATTAGACATCACTTTACACCTAGTAGGATGGCCATTATTTCAAAACAAAATATGAAGAAATTAGAACCCTTGTACACTGCTAGTGGGAATGTAATTTTTTTTAATTTTTACTGTGGAAAACAGTAAAATATATATATATATGTATATATA